TTTGTTTTGAGTTGGAGTCTCACGGTTGCCCAGACTGGAGTGCAGTGGCTGCTCCCGGCCACCACAGCCTTGACCTGCTGGGCTCCGGCGATCCTTCTGCCTCAACCTTCCGAGTAGCTGGAATTACAGGTGCGCGCTACCATGCCCAGCTAATTTTTTGATTTATTGTAGAGATGAAGTCTCACCTGCCCAGGCGGGTCTCAAACCCGTGGGCTCAGGCAATCCACTCACCTCAGCCTCCCAAAGGCATGGGATTACAGGCTGAGCCACCAAGCCCAGCTAGGTACATAATTGTATGCAGTAGGGGACACTGGCTGATACACATGAGACCTCTGTACAGTCTTTGTTACTTCATGTGAATCTATATTATTTAAAAAGTGATAACAGTACCACACTGCTTTAAAATGTTCACGTTCCTTTGTCTGTCATATTCATTATTGTTTCATATTCTCTTGCTTCCTCTGAATTAATCACCCAGAGATATCTCCTCTGATATTTTTCTACTTAAACCTTACTTGGCAGTAACACAATTTTTGGCTTATATCAGGTTACCAAGAAATTGCTTCTTGAATTAAAAATTGAACAATAGTCCGGGTGTGGTGACTCATGATTGTAATCTTTATGTTTAGAGAAGTGAAGGTGGGAGGTTAGCTTGGGGCCAGAAGTTTGAGACCAGCCTGAACAATACAGGGATACAAATGATCAGCTGTGCAAGGTGGTGTCTGCCTGTAATCCTAACTACTTGGGAGACTGAGGGGAGGACTATTCGAGCCCCTGGAGTTCAAGGCTATAGTGAGCTCTGATTGTGCCATTGCACTCTAGCCTTGGTGACAGACCAAGACTGTTTCTGAAAAACAAATATCAAGCCGGACTCGGTGGCTCACCCTGTAATCCCACGCCTTTGGGAGGCTGGGGTGAGTGGATTGCCTGAGCCCGTGGGTTCGAGACCCACCTGGGCAGGGAGACCTCATCTCTATAATAAATCAAAAAAATCAGCCGGGCGTGGTAGTGCGTGCCTGTAATTCCGGCTACTTGGAAGGCTGAGGCGGAAGGATCGCCGGAGCCCAGCAGGTCGAGGCTGCGGTGGCCGGGAGTGGCCACTGCATTCCAGTCTGGGCGACAGAGTGAGACTCCAACTCTATAAAAACCAAAAAAACCCCAAAAAACAAATATCAAACAAAAAGATCCTGAACAATTGAATATGCTTTATGAAATAACAGTATATCAATACTTGATCTCATTACTAACCATCCTTCTTTTCTGCTCATCTACTTATTCCGCCTTTTATTTTTTTTCCTTTTGTCTCTGCCTAATCTCTTTCCAAGGACTGAGCAGTACACCAGAGATTTTACTGGTAGAGTCTTGGGGACTTGACCTTTGTGGAAAAGTTGCATTACTTTGTGGCCACCATAGCAAAGACTTAAGTCCAGTCACAAATTCTAAAAGTCAGGCACTTTTCAAGGACTTAAGATTCAGTGTTGTAAGGGCGAGTTTTGCTAGGAAAACCAGGGTAAGACCTTTGGTGAGCCATGTTCATCCATCCATGTATTCAAATTTATTGAGATTTGTGTTATATATAACTCAGTGTATAGTATATCTTGATATTGTGCAATCATAGTGTTCTTTGAAAATCAGTTTTAGATCTTCTGTGTCTTTAGTTGTTTCTTTTTTTTATTGATTCTGTTAATTACTCAATCTGTGATTGCAGAGTTGTTTATTTTTGCTGTAATTCTGTCAGGTTTTCGTTTATATACATATTTTTAAGCTTTGTTATTAGGTGCATACACATTTATCATTATGCCCTCTTCCTGATAAACTGATCCTTTTATCAATATGAATGATATTTATCTTTATATCCTTTCTTTAGTCCTCACAAGCTTTCTAATTGGTGTCTCTTTTCTACCCTTTAAATCTGTATGTATCTTTGTAGTTAATGGCTCTCTATTTTGTTTTGTTTTTTTAGTTGAAGTCTCTCACTCTGTCTCCTAGGCTGAAATGCAGTGGCATGCTTACAGCCACTGCAGCCTCGACCTGCCGGGCCCAGGCGATCCTTCTGTCTCAGCCTTCCAAGAAGCTGGCACTACATGCCACCATGCCCAGCTAATTTTCTGATTTATTGTAGAAGTGAGGTCTTGCCAAGTTTTCCAGGCTGGTCTCGAACCTGTGGGCTCAGGCAGTTCTCTTACCTCAGCTTCCCAAAGTGCTAGGATTATAGGTATTAATGGCTCTCTTAAAGATAGAATGGATCTTGCTTTTTTATCCATTCTGGTAATCTTTTCCTTTTATTCAGTGTGTTTCATCCATTAACATTTAATTCAGCTATTGATTGATATGGTTGGATTCGGGCTCTCCATTTACTTTTTGTTATATATTTGTTCCTTCTGATTTTTGTCCCATCACTCCTTTCCTACCTTCTTTCGGATTAGATGTTCCAAATTGGTTTTTGGAATTTCATTGTAATTTATCTATTGGCACGTGTGTGTATATATATGTGTACTTGTGCATATGTGCCTGCTCTAGGGATATTTCCCTAACTTTTATTAGAGTTATTACTTAGATTTAATGTACCATTTCACATAATATGTAAGGACTTTGCAACTATATATGGCCATTTTATCCCTGCCTGTCATTATGCTATAATTACATGTATTTATTTACATATGTGCTGAATTCCACGATAAAGTGCTTTAATTTAGCTGGGTGTGGTGGCTAACCTGTAATCCCAGCACTTTAGGAGGCAGAGGTGAGAGGATTGCCTGAGCCCAGGGGTTCAGCCTGGGCAACTTGGTGAGACCTCATCTCTACATAAATCAAACTTGGTGAGACCTCATCTCTACAAAAAATTAGCTGGGCATGGTGACATGCGGCCTGTAGTTCCAACTACTTGAAAAACTGAGCCAGAAGTATTGCTTGAGCCCAGCAGGTTGAGGCTGTGGGGATCGTGAGTGTGCCACTGCCTGGGCAAAAGAGTGAGACTCCAATTCAGAAAAAAAAAGTGCTATAATTTTTACATTAAGACAAAATAGTGTTTTATGTTTACAGTTTCCAATACTTCTCATTCCTTTTGAATATTTAACTTCTCATCTGATACTATTCAGTCAAGAGAACTTTGTTTAGAAGTTTTTATACTTAAGGTCTGCTGGGGACAGATTTTGACAATTTTTATCTGAAAGTTTAAACAAATTTTAATTTTGCCTTAATTTTTGATAAATACGTGGGCTCTGTATAGAATTCTGGGTTGACAGTTACCTTCTCTCCCCAAAAGTCAACGCTGATTTTTATCAGTTTCCTTATATATAATGTGTCATTTTATTTCCTCTGACTTCTTTTAAAATGTTTTTCTTATATTTGATTTTTAGCAGTTTGACTGTGTACTTGGGTGTAATTTGCTTTGTACTTACCTGTTTCAGGTTTTCTGACCTTCTTCAATCTGCACGTGTGTGCCTTTCACCAAAATTGGGAAATTTTCAGCTCTTGATTTTTTTCTGTATTATTCTTTTTATTTTTGGTCTTCTGAAACTCTAATTATACAAATGTTTGCCCTTTTGCCCCCAGTGTCCTAGCATCCCCGCTAGTCTGCTTTTATTTGTCTCTTTCTTGTTCAGATTGGTTTTTCCTCTATATTCTTAAGCATACTTATAACTATTTTAACATCATGGTGGGCTAATCCCAACACTTAGGTCTTTTCTCTTGAAAATTGGTTATATTTTCCTATTTGTACACATCTTTGTGAGTGATACTTTGTACAGATTGTCTTCTGTATGTTCCTTCAAAGAGAATTGATTTTTTTGTTTGTTTGTTTTAACAAGCAGACAATTTGACTGAACTCAAACTAAATTTTAACTTTTCTGTGGCAGGAGGCCGCTTCACTGATCGAGTCAAGTAGCTAATAATGAATACATGTGCTGTGTGCCATGTACTAAAATAAGTGACTATACTACAAATATAAAAAGACAGAGACCCTAACCTCAAGAGACTTGTTATCTAATCAATAGAGACAGAAAAGTGAACAGAAAAGTGAACAAATAAGTATGTTGAAGTTTCATGTGTCATGTAAAATAAGCACATAGAGGCAGTGGCATTACTAAGGAAGGAATTGTTATTAAAATGCAATTCAAATTATTTTTGAAGTAACTGCATTTTTCTGAAAAGGTAGTTTGTTTATATATGTTTGTGTGTGATGAAAGATTGATGAAGAATAACTATTAGTTATACTTTCATTATATGTTGTTAATTCTTTTTTTATAAAGGACTTTTTTTGAAACTACAGCATGTGGTGGGGAAACAATGCTAAAAATAAATATTTAAATTTTTGAGTGTCATACTAAATAAGAGGAATACTTTTTTGGGAAGAAAATATGATTTGATAAGATCTAAGCAAAGAAAACAAATAATATAGATTAGGCATTATCACATGTTGCTGAAACAAGAAATACCTGTATATATACTAAAAGAATTGTTGGGAGAAATATATATTTCAAAACTGTTTTAGAAAGACTCATTTAGACTAATGGAAAGTGTATCTTAAAAATCTGTAAGTTAGCCAGGCTCGGTGGCTCAGCCTGTAATCCTGCGCTTTGGGAGGCTGAGGTGAGTGGATTGCCTGAGCCCGTGGGTTCGAGACCCACCTGGGCAACTTGGTGAGACCTCATCTCTACAATAAATCAAAAAAAATTTAGCCGGGCATGGTAGCGTGCGCCTGTAGTTCCGGCTACTTGGAAGGCTGAGGCGGAAGGATCGCGGGAGCACAGGAGGTCGAGGCTCCCGGTCACTGCACTCCAGTCTGGTTGAAAGTGAGACTCCAACTCAAAAAAAAAAAAAATCTGTAAGTTTTCTATGTCAAATATAAAAGAGATTTTCTAAACCGTTTTAGATATTATCTGTTTTTACTTGTTTCTGTATAAATGAATGGGTAATGTTTTTTGTTTTGTTTTGTTTTGTGAAAGCCTGTCTATTTTAGCAGTAACTCAAGACTTTTTTTTCTTTTCTTGTTTTAACAGTGTATCCTACTCAGTCCATGTATCTGAAGATTACCCAGGTATGCTTTTCTTCTTATTACAAATATTCATATCATGACTGCTTTTTTCCTCCCCTTCTGGCAGTATAAAATTATACAAGTGTATCTAGGAGGGGTGAAGCATTGGCAGAAGTCTTAAAACTACAGAAGATTCCATTGATTGCCTATGAACTACATGTCTTCCTCTGAGACACGATCCAGAATCAAAGTAATTTTACAATGAAAAGTTATTTACGTGAGTCCTATGATGGCTCCAGCCTGCATATTTATATCATTACAGTTAAAATGAAGATTCTCTAAACTGGTCTACTTGTTAGTTTTGGAACATCATTTGGCCTTTGATAACGCAAAAGTTATAGCCGCACTTGTTTTAAGTCACTCTCCAAGACAGAATGTGTGTGTGTATATATGTACACACATATTTTTTAGTATGTTAAAAATAATCAGTTCATACTTTGGTATGAAAATAATGTAAAATTTTTTTTAGCTTTTATTTATTTGTGTATTTATTTTGAGTCAGAGTCTCACTTTGTCAGTGGCATACTGACAGCTACCGCAGCCTGGACTTCCTGGGCTTAGGCGATCCTTCCAACCTCAACATTTCAAGTAGATGGAACTACAGGTGCGTGCCACCACGCCTGGCTAACTTGTGGATTTTCTGTAGAGACAGAGTCTCGACAAGTTGCTCAGCCTGATCTTGAATCCCTGGGCTCAGGCAATCCTCTCACCTCCACCTATAGCATCTAAATTAAGTATTTTCTGTCAGTTTGCATTAAGCATTTAATCTTTTTTTCAGGATGTTAAATTTGGAGATAATTTCTTATCATAACCTTTCTTTCATTATTTTGCTATGCTCTTCATATGTCTTAAGCAGAGTATTCTATAAATTATTATGGTTTTATAATGGGGGTTATTATTAAATATATGCCTATTTTTAGTAGTAAGATAAAAAGTGTTCTAGGCGAACTTTCTTGGAAGAACCAAGACAAGAAATGTTTATAAGAACAATACTATTTGTGGGTGGTTATGCAATCAGCCCTCTTTTATCATGGTATAGTATGTTTTTTGATGCTGAATGTTTGCTAAGTATGTTAGGAAAATAAAAGCCCCACTATTTATTGTAAGTATTATTGTTTTTCTCATCTGAGAAAGGTCATAGAGATGTCAGCCATGAGACGTGCAGGACTTTAAGTCAAGGTGATAGAAATAATGCCACAAATCAAAGCCCAAGCTGAAGATACTAAGTGTAGCACAGGATATGATAGATGTCAAGTGGACCAAATGATTAGCTCCCTCTTCTGGCCAAGAGGTATTACTGTGGGCTTTTTCTCACTTTACGTGAGCTCTACTTGAAAGTACCAATGTACAAAAATGGAAATTTTGAAAGAAAAGATTAGTTACTATTTGTTTTTGCTGAATTTCTCTTCTTCGAGCAGGTTTGTAATTAATTTCCAGTATATTTTATTTCAAGAAGAAAGGGATTGCAAATATATTATATTTGATCTATTTGATGGAGGTAGTTTAATTATTATTCTGCAATAAAAACACAACGATGGAAGAGGGATATGAGTACGTTCTGGTTTAAATGGTTCAGCAGAATTTTGAATTGGTTGATGCAACCAGTACACATTGTAAAGCACACAGTTATATCAAGTATTTCTACCTACATAATTTCATTTTATTCTAAACGCCAATCTATATGAAAGGCAGAGCAGGAGTGATTATGAAATTTATACCTGGAGAAATGCACTGAGAGATGTTACATAATAGTTCCCCAACACATGTGGTTTGGTGATAAAACCAAGTCTGTCATTCAATTCTGAATCCTGGGGAATCAGAGTAATTTTGCTTCTGGGGAATAAATGATAGGAGTGTTTTTTGTGAGCTTTCTTCAGAGTGAACATTAATATGATGATGTTTTCCCCATTATTAAACTTTAATCCATATTTATTGGTACTGAGAATTCTTAGTTAATATGCTTGACTTTTTAGATAGACAATATTATTTAGAAATTGTGTTTGTTCTTCCTTTTCTGTATTTATGGCTATGTGTTTTTTGAAAGTGAGAAAGCAGAATTCATTAAGAGAACAGAAAAGCTCCCACAGGGGGAGGGGACCCGAAAGGGTTGCCCGTGTGTCTCCCCCTACCCTTGGCACTGGCTAGAATGTCTGATAATTTTTAAGAATAGATATGAAAGTTGGCAGCGTTGTCTTTTTCTCAAAATTAGTTTTTATGCTTCCAATTGCTTTCAGAAAAGAAAGCATTCCTTTTCTTATTTACCAAGGTTTTTTTTTTTTTAAGAATGAATATTAAATCTTTATGAAATTCTTGTTTGGCATCCTCTGATGTTTATTTTTAATAAACAATAAGTAACTGTGACAAGTTATGTTCACCGATATCTTAATGTTGATCAATCAGAATTATGTGTGTTTTGTCATATACTTTAGTATTAAAGACTTCAGTTTGCTGAAGGAATTAAGCTATTTGAGCATTTGATAGAATTTACAAGCTAATCTTTCTGAGTCTGTTATCTTTTTAGGGATGGTTCTGGGGCAGTTGTCTTACTTTTTTGCCAGGATTATTGATCTATTTTCTTATGTAATAGACATTTTTAAACATGTGTTCTCCTTGGAAATCATGATATTGATCAAATGTCCAGTATTTCCTCAAAAGTTTGGTAGTTGTATAATTGCAAAAATCTGTATCTCTGTGTTAATTTCTTTTTCATTTCTATTGTTCATATTTGTTTTTGTCTTTTTCCTCCTTTGGTTTGTCTTCTAAAAAGTTTGCCCATTTAAAAAACTCTTTCTAGCAAATAACTCTCTTTAGTGTTATATTTAGTGTTATATTTAATTTCTAAATCAGTTATCTTGCTATTACCTTTATTAATTGCTTTTGGTACTGCTCTTATAGGCTTATTTTTTCCTACTTTTTCTGGATTATTTGGTTCATGGATTATCTTATTCTTTGCCCATGGAAATGTATCAGTATTTTCCTCAAAGCAGAGATTGTATTATTCCAACTTATGTCTCTAGCACCAGATTTGTCCTTTTATATTTGTGATCTGTTAATTAACCTGTGCCATCTATTGAAATTCATTTCATAGTTTGTATTTGTGAAAATGAAAATTTAGTAGATTTTATTGAGTTAGGCATACAAAATAACATGTATATAAATGAAATACTAAATGGTGTTGACTTCAAAATAATGTGAAGAAATAGAGCAGCCTCCTGATTTTCTTGTACTACTTTTGTGGATTTTATATTACACACAGTTTTTTTTTTTTAAGGTAATGGGTTACAGAATAGATGTGTATATTACAAGTCAGGTTGGCTATGCTATAATAGCAGAAATATTTAATTCTCATCTGTTCCACCTTTAATTAGGAAGCCTGCCTACTTATGGGAGTGAATTCTCTCATCCTTTTTACATTCCTCACTAGAATGTAGAGGAATGAGGGGCTACTTTCTGGATCCTTTCATAGCCGTGTGTCCAAAAAAGTCTTGACCTAATGGTATATAGCTTTGTGAATAAACTTAAGTGAGAATTAAAATCCTATATAATTTCTATCAAATTATAGCCTTTAAAAACGTAATTTTGTACTTAATAAGCATTTATATTTTACACAGTATTACAATTTTATAGTGACAATATTTTCCGTATTTTAAAAAATACATAGTATAGTAGCAAAGCATTGATTTTTTTTTTTTTTTTTTTTTGGATTCAGACGGATGCATGCTTTACCACTTACTAGATGTATAATGAAATAATTGCTTAAGTAATTTAAGCAGATTGCTTAATTTCTCTGAGCCTCCATTTCCTAATCTTTAAGATGGAGATAATAATTAACTGGCTTGGGGATGATGTGAAATTATATAGGAAATTCGGGTAAAATATTCAAACCATAATATGCATATAATTATTATTTAGAGTTATAATTATTATTTCTCTAAGATTGCATAGTAATGAGGAGTGGAATAATTTGATTTAAATTATGCTCCATATTTACCTATCCCCGAATTGTACCTCACATCTTTAAAATAAAAATAATTATTAAAAAGAAATGAAGTATGCTGCATTGAAATAGGATAAAAGCAATCAGTAGTTGAAGAGATGCTTCTCCATAGTACTGCTAATCTCTTCCTAGTTGTCCATGAAAGTTCTGGTAGTGCTTGCATAGTAGTAGAGAAGTGAAGAGAAAATACTTGTATTGTTAACAACTCCAACAAAGATCTGTAGGTCCTCTAAAAAATATATACATTAAAGAATATAACTGTCCCCAGAGATTTTAAGAAAATAAAAATAGGCAGCTCTGAAGTCAAGTGGGAGGATTTCAATGAAGGAATTGAGTTTGAAAACATTCTTATTCTGTCACTGACTCATTCTGTCGCCTTAAATGCATTCTTTAACCCTTTTTATGTCCTACTTTCTCATTTCCGTACAAAGATGATGTTATTACAGATGACAAAATAATTTGAGAAAGATTTAGAAGTAATTAAGCAACAACAAAGGCTAATGGAATGGGTTCATATAGCTAGCATGATCCTCAAAGACCATGAGCAAACCTCATTTTATAGCTAAGAAGACTGTGGCTTAGGTTAAAAGACATCATCAGATGGTGGTAGTAGTGTGTAGATTTTTTAATTTTAAAATATTTGCTTGTCAAATAAGGGTTGAATATATTCAAGGTGTACATGTAATGATTTGTATGCATGTATAATGATTACCACAATCAAATTAATGAACACATTCATCACCACCAATGCTGAGCATTAGATCCCCAGAACTTGTTCATCTTATGACTGCAACTGAAAGTTTAAACTTAAAAGTTTGACCAGCATTTCTCAATTTCCCCCATCTCCTGGAAACCCCCTGCTCTTACTCTCTACTTCCCACAGTTTAACTTATTTAGATTCCATATGTAAGTGGAATCATGCAGTATTTGTCTTTCTGTGTTTGGCTTATTTCGTTTAGCACAGTGTCCTCCATGTTTATGTTGTGGCAAATGGCAGGATTTTTTTTATGACTAAATGGAATATTCCATTGTATATATTACCATAATATTCTTATCAAGTCATTTGCTGATGGACACTTAGGTTGTTTCCACCTCTTGCCTATTGTGAATGGTGCTACAGTAAACATGGGGGTACGAATATGTCTTCAAGATACTGATTTCACTTCCCTTGCATATATACTCAGAAGCAGGATTGCTAAACTGGATAAAACAGAAGAAATACATAAGTTCCTAAAAATAGAAAACCTACCAGGACTGAATCATATAGAAACAGAAGATCTGAACAGACTAATAATGAGTAAGGATATAAAATCAGTAACCGAAAACCTTGCAACAAAGAAAAGTCCAGGACCAGAGTGCTTTGTGAGTGAATATTCCAAAGAATTGATATAACATTTAGATTTGATGTTTTTTCTTTACTCTCCTATATTTCTGACCATAACTTGGGTCTGTTATCTGATCTGGCCTTCATAATAATGGCAATTTAGTTAATGTCATGAAACCTGAAAACATTTTTATTTAGGGCAAATTAAACAAAAACAAATTAAAAGGGTTCTAATGTCTAAATACTAATCAAAATACAAACTGATAGAAAAATTTCTTAGAAAATGATATGTTTGAAGGCATAATCCTGTCCTTAATATATGTGCAAAACATATTTACCAAATTAGATTCTCTTGAATCAAATCTTACTGCCTTTCAGCTTCAACACTTTACATAAGCCATTTTTATAGAAAACCTTTTCAATTTAATTATTTACATGCTTGGTTTCTTAAACGTAGTTTCTTAATTTACTTGCCTCTTGATGCTTTACTAAAGACTCCATCATTCCATGATGCTGTGATATTGCTTGATGCCTTCCACCTTCTGGATTTTTCTGGATCGTCCCCTCTAGTTGGTCAGCTTTTGTTTCTGTTTCTCTAATGTTCCCTTGTGATACTCTTTTTTTGTTTGTTTGTTAAGGTTAACTCCAAGGAATCCATTGTGCACAGAGAAAACAGATAATTAGGTTGATTAAGTAGTAAGACTGCGAGTTTTTAAGAAATAAAAGAGCACGTTTCTAATAGACTTTTTTGATGTTTACCCAAAAGCATCAGGTTACTGACAGAATAGACTCTAGATAAGTGATCAAAGTCTCAACTAATGAGACGATAGTTAAAATAAATTTGTATTAAATCTGTTTTTTAATCTGTAGCCCCCCTTTATCAAAACATGAAAATCTCACACCTCTTTGATGATATCTGAAAACTAAGTAAAGCAAAATTTGTGATTAGCACTAATCAAAGTAATGAGGCAAACTTCTTTTGTTTCAAGTCTAATCCATACCCACCCCTTCTTGCCTCCCGGAGTAACTATTAAAGCCTTTGTCTATTGAGAATCTTTTGCATCTAAACTGTACATACAAATCACTATCATTACTTACTTCTTAAGGTTTAAAAATAGTACAGATGTTTCTTTGGAAATAAAATAATAACTTAGCAATCTATCAATTAAAAAATCATGTTCTCACTATACTGACACAATATTATGAAAACGTGGCTCAAAAAATCTTCTAATATGCATTTATTTTGCCATCTGAATTCTTAGCAGAAATTGATCCATGCTTTTATTATTTGTTGGTGATATTTTATACCTTTTAATAGGTCATTGATGGGTACATTATAGGACCATTATTAATGAATTGGTGAAATGTTTGTTAAATAGCTGTCTCACAGATGCCCTTCAATAATCTATGAACAAAGAATAAACTCTTAGGTGTTACACTGTCATATATGAGCACAGGGAGGTCTGTATTTGTTAGAGAAAAAATGCTAAACTCATAAAATTGTTAGTTTTTTCTAGAGGAAGCAAATAGTAAAAAGTTTAAGGACTCTGGAATAATATGCTTGAGTTAAATTAATTCATAGAAGAATAATTGTGAGAGATTATATCAATTTCAAATATATATTAGAGCATTACAGAGGATGTAATTTACAACAAAACCTTTAGCTCTAATTTTTGAATGACTTGATACTGAATCTTTTTATTGAGACATATGTTCTTTTGCTTTCTCCCTCCACTCACTAACCATCTTCCTGTAGTAGATACTGATATTGGGAGAACCCTGTTCAGCAAGTTGAAGCAACCGGTTTCATTCAAATGACTCATTGCCATGTTGAATATTAGAGATGTATCTGGATTGTCTTCTATTCAAGGTCTATATTTCATGAGGAGATGCAAGCATCTTTAAAGAGGTTGTTTACAATTCATACATAATCCTGCACTTCATCATTTTTTACTGAGTTTAATTAGAACAATAGTGTATGCTTTATGAGAGTTAGAACTAAAATGATATATATATAAATTTAACTATTATTTTTAATGGATGTATTTTTTCAAGTTATCATGCCTTTAATTATTAATATTTCTTTGCAGATAATACATATGTGTCAAGTTCTGAAAATGATGAAGATGTACTAGTTACTACAGAGCCAATTCCAGTAATTTTTCATAGAATAGCAACAGGTAATAGTAATACATTACTTTTACTCTAGGTTAATGTTTATTAATTGTTGGCAGCTTTTCTTTTTTCTTTTAGCCAAGTTAACAGATATTTATTTTCGGCATCTATTAATTTGGTTCTCCATACAAATTTTCTATGTAAAGTACACTGTTTTCAACAATTTTTTTAAATACATAAGCTTATAGTACTTTTAAAATTCTGTTTAAATTAATTGTGTTGACATTGCTCTTGTAAAAATAGTTTCCTGTATAATGACAAACTGAATATTTAAAAACCACACTCAAGGCAATGAAGATATCATGAAATAAGAAGTATATAATGAGAACAGAAGAAACCTCTATGGTGGTACTTTTAGTTTGAGCACATTTTTCTGCACAATGAAAAAATCAGAATAGCTTGTCTATTTTGTAACTCCCCAACATGACATAATTTCAAAATATCCGTTAATTCTTTTGCAAAGGAGAGGAAATCACCTAAAGGGTGGTTTTATACCAAAACTCATGAATGCTTGGTAAATAGCATACTGAAAAATAATTTTTTAATTATAACTTTCTTTCAGAGTTAAGAAAAACAAATGACATTAACTGTTGCTTATCCATAAAATCCAAATTACAAAAGGAAAATGGGGAGGTATGTAAGTTATGTTTTTTTTTAATTTTTCAAAACAGTGTAGATCTATATTAAATGGACGGATGTTTGTAGTTAATATCATCATTATTTAGATTAAAATGGCATATGGTGAATGAAACTGAAGCTAATGACTTAGGGACGTTTTGTGTGATACGGGGAGTGGCCTGACATTAACTCTGAGAAGGAAGTTCTTTTTTTAAATAGTAGAAAAGAGCAAAGAGAGATTAACTTAGTCTATATCCTTTCATCAGATAATATAATTAATTGAGGAATACCAGTGTTAACTTAAAACTATGCATGGCTACACATAATTTTGATGGGATCTTGAAATTTTGTTGGTTAAAGATGATTTATTTAGTCAAAGTACCTCAGAAAGTTTGTATAGTCTTATTATTGGCTAGTATTAAAAAACAAAACAAACTCTTTGCTTCTCCCCGCTTTAAAAATATTTACTTAAATCTATAAATATAAATAAGTACTAGGATGTTAAACAAACAAAATAAGTGCGAAAGGACCAGCAGTTCTTTGCTTTCAAAACTATGCATTTATCAGCACCCTCCTTACCTGTTAGTGTTGTACCATTCTTCTCCTCTTTATCCACATTGAGTATTACCAGTTGAATTCTCGCTAAAACCATTCACTGTTAGTTAGAAATTTATAAGACTCAGATTCCCTTTTCTAGGTTTTTTGTTTTCCTTAGGAACTTGAAATTCAGTCTGGAGAATTAGGAATGATTACAAAACATTGGCTGAATGGATTCCTTTGTCCAAAAGAAGCTACCTTTCTCCTATGGTAATAGGGCCAGTGGTAGGAATACTATCATGAATTTTCATTGTTTGTACTTCAGACACATAACAGATGTGGCTCAGTTAATTAAAAATTCACTTCAAGTTAAAGCATATTAAATGAAATGCCCTTTTGAAATCTGAATTCTAAAACAATTTCTGCATACTGAAAGTTCTCTTCATAGTGTGATTCATATTTATTTTCGTAATTTGGTTTTTACATTACTGCATTCAAAGTTTTTTCCTTCAGACCATTGTCTAGAGTTGGCATTGGAAATGAGAATAGCCTGGTGTAAATAATATTGAGAAACTTTTTAATAAAAATTGAACCAGTATGAGCTTGCCAAATGTTATATCAGAGCAGATCCAAAGGTGTAATTGATATACATAAGTTTTTAATGTACAACAAATATTAAATTGCTCATCTCACTTAAGATCAGTAAAAAAGAACTTTAAAAAAGATGTTTTTAAAAATAGCTGAATACATTGACAAAGCCATTTGTCTCTCACTACATTTTGTTTTGGGGTTGTTCTGCAGCAAGAATGTTTTATGAATAAAATCTATGATGTATACACAAGGCCTGTCTGTTACGGCTATTTGCTACTTTATTTTAGTAAGGAAGTAAACTAAATTGTCTTATTTTTATTATTTTAAGGAGTCAAGACAGAATAGTACAGTGGAAGAAGATTCTGAAGGTGATAATGATTCTGAAGAATTTTATTACGGAGGGCAGGTAAGGAAATCCGGTCTTCTGAATATCTAGGTTTTGTTTTTGCTTTTGAGTTGGGTTTCTCACTCTGTCACCCAGGTTGGTGTGCAGCCTGGACCTCCTGGGCTCAGGCGATCCTTTTGCCTCAGCCTTTTGAGTAGCTGGGACTTCAGTCGTCGTGCACTACCATACCCAGCTAATTTTTTTGTTTTTGTTTTTTGTAGAGACAAGATGTTGCTTTGTTGTCCAGGCTGGGCTCAAACTCCTGGGCTCAAGCAGTTCTCTTGCCTCAGCCTCCCAAAGTGCTAGTATTTCAGGTGAGCTACCACACCCTGCCTTAAAATTCTAACAGCTGTATCTTCTTAGTGGGAGTCTGTTTCTGACAATTAAAGGACCTGTGTATTGCTCAGTGTTCTGTAATTAAGTTGGAAATCTGTATAATTTATCTATTTCACATCTTCTAATTTTCTTTAGAAATTAAGATCACCTTTGCTGTTCTTTTAATTGTAATTATTTATTACATTGAAGTTATCTTAATTCATTACACATATTTTGTAGATAGCATTTTATTATGCTTTTGACGTTTTCATTTCTTAAGCATGCTGTACTCAGTCACTATTTTGAAATGATGACACATTTTAAAAGAATGTATTGTTAGGTTTAAAAAGAAGATGGTTAACCCTTATAAAATGTGATGGGCCCCAATCATTGAGTATCCTCATTATTTATTTGCATTAATTATCATTGAATTTATTGTACTGAAAATTGTTATCGTAGTCTATATATATGAAAATAGTGTAAACCACCTATACACAAGAACTCATATTTTTTTCAAGATAATGTTAAAATTTAAAACTGAGCAATTGATTTTAGGGTATGGCTATATGTTGTTCTGTCTCTATAAGCTCCTTAATCAAATGTGCTTTATAACATGGATAGTGTACAGGGAGGCTTATATGTTAAATAAGAACATTCAAGCCAAAATTATGTAATATGCAAGTAAATTTATTCGTTTGGAATTAAAAAAATCAATAACATATCAATCGAGAATAAGCATGGCAGTGGAGAGATGGACATAATAAAACTAGATTTATTCTCTCCGGGAGTGACTTTTGAGCAATGGGATTTTTTCCGATGAAATGATTGTTTAACCGGTATAACATTTTAATATTATGCAAAGTCATTCTTCTAGTTTGATTTTTATTTACACAGCTAATTCTTACAGAGGGGGGAGGTAAACACTTTTCTTCAGTCTTGGTCTCCTGTCTAGAAGTTTTTCAGAGTATCTGCCAGACACTTATTTCACTCATTTTTAACATTTGCATTTTCTTTGCATCAAAATAAACTCATTTTAACTTTTTTTTTTTTGACTTGGAGTCTCACTCTGTCACCCAGACTGGAGTGCAGTGGCCGCTCCCGGCCACTGCAGCCTCGACCTGCTGGGCTCCGGCGATCCTTCCACCTCAACTTTCCAAGTAGCTGGAACTACAGGCGTGCGCTACCACATCTAGCTAATTTTTTTTTTTTTATTGTAGAGATGAGGGCTCACCAAGTTGCCCAGGCGGGTCTCGAACCCGCGGACTCAGGCAATCCACTCACCTCAGCCTCCCAAGGCACGGGATTACAGGCTGACCCACTGAACCCAGCTTTAACTTTTAACATAATGAATTATTCTAGCTATATGTGAACCTAAGAATTTTAATGAATATGCTACTGAATTATCTGTGTTTTCAAATAAAGCTAAAAATATCCATTGCAAAATGCACAGGCTCACCTATCCAAAAGGTTGCTTGTGCTTTGGTGCTTGTGATTCTCTCCACCCCTAAGTCACTTCTAAATCATCCCTCTCAGGTGAACTATGATGGAGAACTGCACAAGCACCCTCAGCTGGAAGCAGATTTGTCAGCAGTAAGAGAGATATATGGGCCACATGCAGTTTCTCTCAGGTAAATAATACCTTTGTTGGAACAAATTAAATTATATGGTAAGTCAATGAAATTTTCTTTTGGAGTAATTCAAATTAAAGGAAAAATTGGAGGGTTTAATTATATGTGAAAATTGGAGGGTTTGAGAGAGATTATGGTGTTCTTATTTATACAAAGTGGCATATTTATGGCTATATTTTTTTTTTTACATGTGCTTTAAGATTACATTGATTGCATTAAAGAAATTAGTTTGGAGAATTAGTTTCAAGAAATATCAGTTTTAAGTAGTGTCATAATTAATTTCTATAGTAAATTTGGCCAGCTGGGCCCATGCTATTATCATAAATCAAGGCTACATTCTCATGAACAATAAAAGTAAATAATGCATAACAACTGGTACCCAAATCACACTGTCATCTGGTCCCTAAAACACAAACAAACAAAAAACCATAAATTTGCACAGTGCTTTTTGAATGATAGTGTGTTTTATTTTGTGGTTCTCTAATATACTATTTTGGGATATATTTCCAGACCATTTATAAAATTACTTTCAATCATTCAGAAGATCTCATCATCCTTATTTAACCCCACCACCACCATCAATGTTAGAAACAACTTTTTCTGCCATCCTAGTTGTTTCAGATTCCTGATTTTGCATACAGTGTAGTCTCTAAATTTCCATGGAATTTCAGACCTCTTTCATAGCCTGACCTCAGCTACAGCACTTTCTCCACCCAGACCTGCCACGTTTCCCGTATTCCCTGTTAACTTTGGGCATTTGCACAAGCAATTCTCTTATCAAGGAATGCATCCCTCCAAATCGTATTGGTGTCTCTCTTCAAGCCCAGTCTATGGATCAGCTTCTCTCTGAGCCTTCTTTGAATCTCCAGTGCAGATCAGTTATTCAATTCTCTGGACTTCCATCACATTTGAACCCTTCCCTATTTTATACCTCTCATGTCTTTTAATTATTGGTTTACATCTTCCCCCTAAACTGAATTCTGTGATTGCCTTGGCAGTGCTTTTTGTTTGTTTGGTTTTGAATCCTTCTCCTATTCTGGTAGCTAGCATAGCATGGGGCATATATGAAACCCAGGGCAGGTTTTCAGTGGCAACATCTGAAAAAAGATATTCACATTATCTAGTTGTAACTCCTTCAGTGGGCATAGCCATATTTTGAGAGGGCATATACATACTTTTAATTGGGATATACAACAGCTTTAACTTAAAATTGCCTTATGTTTTATTTTAACTGAAGAAACAGAGACTCCCAAGCATCCACAGCCTAAATTAGCAGGGGCTATGTACCCAGACCCTCTCTTTCACGCTTATGGAGATATATTAGGCTGCAATTGAGTGAGAGTTATGGAATTATATTTGGAAAAACAAATCTTTGTAAACTTCAAAGTTTTAGCAAATTAGCTTGGATAGTTTCACTGTTGATCTCTGTTATGGCTCCAGATTGGGTAATATACGTATTCAATAAGTGTTATGAAGTGAATATGTAAAAAAGGCAATAGTCAATAAATAATCCAAAATAATGGCAATTTTTTAAAAACAGGAAATGAACTTTGCTTGAAAGCCTAAAACTTAAGCATAATAATTTACCCCACCACACATACACTATAAAAAGTCTATGGGATATAATTAGTAATCATAATACAACATAAAATTCAACTTCTTTGTATTTGGAATACGTATTTTTGTTTGGAGAATAACTTTAGCATATGTTGATTGCTTTTAGAAAGATATCTCTAAAATATATTTTCATGCTTAGTCATATTGTCATATATATGTGAAATTATTTTTTCTTCATTAAGCATTTATTAGGTACTTGTGATGATCTGTATTAGTATTTTCTATTATTAATAAAATTGTTGATAATTGTTTACTGTTGAAATTAGATTTTTTAAATGTTTGGAATTTCAATTAAGCAAAGTATCTAAAGTTCTGACTTTAGATGATTTGGATTTTTTCTGCCTTTCTATTCACCTTTTATAACAGTTTTTTTGTTTGTTTTTTGATTTATTATAAAGATGAGGTCTCACATGTTGCCAAGGTTGGACTCTAACCCTTGGGCTGAGGCAGTCCTCTTACTTCCATCTCCCAAAGTGGTGGGATTACAGGTGTGAGCCACCATACCTGGTCTTTATAGCAGTTTTGATCCACTTTAATTCTTAATAAATGCAAGCCACATTCCTGCCTGCTCTGGATTTTCTGTAACTACAGAGAATGTTTCCAAAATGAAAAACTTACCAGAGGCCTTGTGGCATAAAGGCGAATCACAACAGGACTAGTTTGATTTACTTAAATAAGAATGAATTTACTGTCTAGTCTCAAATACTGAGACTTAGGCACAAGGGAAAAGGGGTGCGTAGTTAGGCATAAGGTCTTGGAATCATCTTCTTTGTAAGGTTCTAAGTCCATTGAAAACAGATTGTTCTAATTAACTGTTCTTTTACTTAATTGAGCCTTATAAGAACTTAATGGAGTTTGAAGAACAAAAGTACCTCAATATGCACAATAGGCTATTTGACTTTTTAAATACAGCATCTAATGAGAAGGGCAGCTAACCACATCTCAATTCTTTGTAAGAGAGGGAAATAACCGAGATTGCCTAGATTGAGGCACAGCCCTCTTAAAGTAGGTGACATAAGGTGTAGAAAAAGTGACTGATGATGGATTTATCACTTAAGGAGGTGATGACAGCTCTACCTGGCCATATCATCCAAAAGTGTAATGCTGGCTATGTTGAACCATACACATAAACATATCAATGATAATTCTGATTCATAGTCCCTTGTATAGGAAGTGAGTTAGGTTTTGGAGGAACATGAACTCTGTCATCTATTTTGAGTGTGGCTCATCTTGAGTCAGGCCACAAAATGCATTATGTGTTTTTTATTGTCAATACACTTCTAGAGTCATAAATTTATTAAAATAATACTGATCAATGCCATCTGAAAATAATTTGAGGTTAATATTTTTAAAAAGGTAGAGAATTACAGGTCAGAAAATACTTATTTGGTTAGGAAAGAAATAATTCTGATAGTTTCCTAGTGAATTTGAAAACTTCCATTTCGTATAAAATATCCTTGACCTTCTGATCATGTAATCTTTCATTTTAGAAATTGAAGCCATAAGAGTAATATTCTAACCTTTTTATTGTGACTAATGCTTAATGTAGGCCAGAAGTTCCTAAGACTGTTGCTGGTCAGCATTTCAATCATTTTTGTGCATGGACATTTGTAATAGGATCTTTTTGCATTAATGTTTGGAAAATAAGAACATTCTGAGGATTTTGGTAGTTTGAGGAAAATGCGCCACTCTTGGAAAAGAAGAGCATTCTGAGGATTTTGGTAGTTTGAGGAAACTGTGCCACTATGCTTATTACCACCAAATGATATTTCCTTAGGGAAAAAAAAAGATGAAAGAAAAAAGCCACTTAATCAGGATGGACTACTATAATTTCTCTGGAGTTCTGAATTTCTATTTGTGGTGGCAAGTAGGACTGCTTACAAACCTTCGATTCTCCTGTTGTGGTCATACAGTAAGATTGTATTTCCTTGTCCTCTTTAATGTAAGGCTAGGACATAATATTGACTAGTCAAAGGTGAGCATAAGTGCTAGTGTGTGAATTCTCATGTCCTCCAGACTCTATTAGCCTGATCCCTTTTGTGATGAGAATGAGCTTCCCCACCTCCCAATTACATATTAACCATATAGTAGGAGTGAGATATAAATCCTTTTTTTGTGTTAAGCCACTGAGATTTTGAGAATGTTCGTTACCACAATGCAACGTAGCCTACATTGATGTATATCATTCACCAAAAGATTTCAGATTGGGTGTTTTTGTAATATCCTTTCCAGCATATTGATTCTTTGCCCTCTGCCTCGGAGCCAAGGAAAGTAAACAGTTTGACCCTGAAAAATCAGAAAAGTGGTGTCAAGAGACACATAGGGGCAAGAAACCAGGGGAAGAGTGTTCTTCAAAAACACTGAGACATAAGATGTAATACTGAGACGTAAACTTCAGGTGCTCAAGTTAGACACGCACCATCATTCCCAAAGTCTGGACTTTCTTCAAGCAAAACTGGGGATTTTTAAGCTTATTGCAGAGTTGTAGCAACTGTTTATACTGTACCTCTCATGCACAATTTTACATGGGCTTCCTTTCTTATGTGGATCTAATTTTTAAAATTTTCTCAACCATGTTCTATAGAGAAATTTATAGCTACCTTGGATACAATCTTGCAAATATTTTAATCTGCCAAGATTTCTTCCTGACTACTGAGTTTGCATATTTCTTGGCCCATTCACAAACATCTCTCCCACACTGGGGAAAAAAAAAAAACTCACATTGAGTAGGCATGCAGAGATAGACATGCAAGCTGTTGAGTTTCAGATGTCATGGGAAGGTGTATGTTTCTTCACAAAGTATCTTTCTTCTCAAAGTATACTTATCCAATTGTTTGAAGCAGAAATAACCAAATGGCAGTAGAGATTTATTTCCCAAGAATCTGTGATAGAGCTTCCTGTGTGTATTATATTATATACATATAAGTTCCTTGACAATAAGGGAAGGCTAGATATCTAAAACATATTTTATAACCAGCACAGTCACTGCTGATTTTAATCAGGTTGCATAATAAAACATCACAACAATATAATGAGTGAGTTGAAGTTTTATAGCAAAAGGAGGACCAACATAGATGGTCTAACATTTAATATATTGTGAGGATGTATGTGAGTGTCTCATTAACGAGGATGTTGTCTTGATTAGTTCCATTAAAAATAGGAGAGTGAATTGCCAAAAATTCTAACACAGAATGTTCTTAAAAGTACATGTTCACTGAAAAAAGACTAGGCACAGTGGCTCATGCCTTTAATCCCAGCATTTTGGGAGGTCAAGGGTAGGAGGATTGTTTGAGGCCAGGAGTTCAATACTATGTTGCCTGGGCAACATAGTAAGATCCTGTCTCTTTAACAAAAAAAAAAAAAAATCAAACTTAGGCAGGCAT